AGACGAATCTGAGCTGTGAGATGAAACCTCTTCTTGCACTTGCTTATGCCTATTCTATTAATTGGGATTAAGCGCGTCAACAGCGGTTATGCGACCTTCATTCACTAGACGTGAAGCTACTTTTGCTTATGGGAAGGGCTAGCTTGTCCAGTGGTAATTCTAGTTACTATTGCATGTAACGTAAGCTCAACAGTTCTAGAACCATCAATGATTGGTGAATCGGCAGATTCGTTTGCAACTCATTTGGAAATATTATCAGAATGATATTTCTTTCCCATATTTCAAATATTTCGTACAGTGCCCAATAAATTCTTAAAAAAAATTGTGGTATCGATGGTCTCGGATAACAGTTATCTCAACATTACCGTCCAATTAATATGTGACATTGTTTTAAATGTTCACTGACTTCACTCCACGTTGATGCTTAAATAAATTCCTCTTTCTCGTCATGCAACACATGAATCGATGAAACTTGACATTTAGTTGTTGTTTAACGATCATTAGTTCAAAACTCTTTTTTTATATACTAATTTTCAACTATATATTCACATAATAAAATATTCTACATGTAAATTCAAAAATTTCTCTATTTTTTAACTACACACATTAACCAAAAAATCATTATTCAAAACTATATTTGACCCAAATAATTATTGTCAAAGGGGTTTAATATGAACAATTTGCACAAACTTTATGAATTAAATCTAAATATTTATTAGATTTAGGGAAATTGGATAAACAATAAACCGAGAGAACCGTGTCATGCGGAGGGGTGACAATAACGTTTAAGACTTTGAAGGGGTATCTTTTTGGCTATAGTTCGACTTGCTTGGATGTTCGGGATGGGGGGTGGCATGGGGTAGTACCTAAATACCTATATTACCATCCAAGAAAGGAAATGTAAAGATGCGACAAAAAAATAATTTTAAAAAGGGGAATTTTCATTTTGGTCTTATTTATTTTGTTTACATCCTCTTGTTAAGATACTATTTTTCTTGTACTATTATATGGGTTCTTTTCGTCTAATTTGTAAGTAAAAGGAAAAAAAGTATTTAAAAATTTGATGCATCTCAGACTATTTGGATAATCAAATCAAATAAGACGATAAAAAAAAAATAAAAAAAAAATAGATGTATCAATACATTTTGTGTTGACTATACGATTTACTTCATTTCGTTCATTTTTATATA